ACCAAAAGCAATTTCAATAGCACCGACTGTTATTAAGGGAGAATAGAGAATAACTGTTGCGATGACTGTTATTCCAATAGTTAAGGACYTTTTGTACTCGTTGTGTTGCTCTGCTAGATGACGTTGTGACRKTGAATTASCAATAGCAATAGATTTTCGTTTCTTATAAGCTGTTAAGTGCACTTTAATTGTGCAAAATAAAATAACAATTSCATTGGAGCACAGRAAAACTATCGTCGGTAGCTTTCGAATGTGTTGCGAACTGCTATCGATGTGAATTCTGCTCAGGATAGAAAACGTTGGAAATGCAACCCACATTAACAAAACAACAACCATTACTCTTCCATTTGTAATTTTCCGTTGATAAAAGAAAGGAAACTCCACCGCAAAGTACCTCTCWACACTCAAAACTGTCAAAGTACTCAGAGCAAAGAAGGAGCCAACCATAGCAGCTATAGCTACGCCAGAAAACGTTTTACAAGGYGAAGAACATCTCAAAACCAAACATACCAAGTATGAAACTGTCAGAGGYTGYACAACRGCGCCGACAAAAAGGTCCGACATGGCTAAAAAAGTCAGAAGAAGATTGTAGTTGGCGTTGCGCAGACGTCTCTTCTCGATAATTGTCCAAATAATTAGAATGTTTATCAAGGCTGTTGGAAGAGCGGCGAAGCTGTTGAAAACGCAAAGAAAGATCCATGTTGGCACAACTGAATCTGGAAGAGAAGTCAAATTACTTGGATCAAATCCTGGTGATAAAAAAATACAGTCTATTTTGCTACTTTGAGTGGTCAAAGTTCTTGTTAAATTGTTAGCCATGGTYTTGAAGAACTACTTGACGGTAGTTACAGCAAACGAGGCGTCTACAGGTCGTTAGAATTGCCGCATTAATACCTGCATGTTAGACCGCTTGAAAAGCTTGGAAAACAACTCAGGATGTAACCCTTAAAGACACTTGAAGATGTATGAATTGACAAATCTTATGAATACACCAGAGGCTCTTCATAAGACGAACACTCAGCATTCAAAAACACAATCCTTGAAATCTTTCCATGGCTGACAGTTACAACAGAACTCTTTTCCAAATGGGTAAGCTGATTCTTGGACTCACTTGAAAATCCAGGCGTAAAAATTAACGCCAGTAATTTCTCTTTCTTCGAGAGATTTAGATCTAACCAGCTGTACGAAGTTCAAAGTCTTCAACATTAACTTTTTCACTTCAAGGCCATGTGATTATATAGCTAGGTAAAACTGCCATTAACATGCCCCAATCAAGGCAATTATGAATTAACACTTCCTGGGTCTTGTTTCTTGGATATCTCGNTGAAGATGTATGAATTGACAAAATCTTATGAATACACCAGAGGCTCTTCATAAGACGAACACTCAGCATTCAAAAACACAATCCTTGAAATCTTTACATGGCTGACAGTTACAACAGAACTCTTTTCCAAATGGGTAAAAGTTGATTCTTGGCCTCACTTGAAAATCCAGGCGTAAAAATTAATACCAGTAATTTCTCTTTCTTCGAGAGATTTAGATCTAACCAGCTGTACGAAGTTCAAAGTCTTCAACATTAACTTTTTCACTTCAAGGCCATGTGATTATATAGCTAGGTAAAACTGCCATTAACATGCCCCAATCAAGGCAATTATGAATTAACACTTCCTGGGTCTTGTTTCTTGGATATCTCGATGAAAAGGGGGAACAATTCCAAACGGGGTTTCAAATAAATTAAGACTCCCTGAAAAGCCGGTAAATTTGCACTTTTTACATCATCGAAAAAACAGATTGCATCGACTCTTGGAAATTCAATAAACTGGATTATATTAAAACAGGCTAAACCCTAAGACTTGTGACAATGGATTATTTCCGACGGAGAAAAACAGAATCCTCAGTCCCAACAAAATTGAAAATTTGACATTTGGACACGTCTGATTCAAGTTCCTCAGCAAATACTGTCAAAATACTAGCAGGACATTTTTGTTTAAAGCTCGCCGACTAAAAGCGAATCACGACAAAAAAACACAGAGATATAATTATCAACTTTGCAAAAGCTTTTCTTCAGGACTGGATAATCCCGACAATTAATTTTTGGCGCCTAAAATTCTTGAAAAGTGGATATAAAAAGCTGCAGAATTGAACATTATTGAGAATCTTATAATGTTTTAATATTAATTTTCACTTGTCCTAAGTTCCCTTGAACACCTGCTTCAACGTCCAATGTCAGTAGTTGATTCAGTTTCATCAAACGATCGACGCTTCGCAGCTGGTATAATAATGCACTTGTTTTTTTAATTAATCGCAAGGAAAGGATGAAGAAAAAGATAAAAATAGAGTACAATGATATTGGTTAATAGTACGACATTTCGTGATTGACATATACTAGAGATACGATCTTATAAAACATAGGAAAGGTTATTGAGAATATGCAATTTGACGGATAACTTAGCCATAGAAATTGAATAGATTTTGAAAAATCATCACCACCATTGAAAGAAGGCTTAAAATCAGGAAATTGATTTGAGAATCATCAACAGAAGTCACCGTCGTTTTTTTTTTCTGCATGGCAAAATATAAAACAAATGTCCACTAAAGCTTTTTGTTATTTAACCGAAAAAACATTGCACCAACTGGATCTTCCATACCCTCTAATTGATCGCCCCTATCAATTATCGAAAGAAATAAGTAAACTATTGAACTTTAAAAATCGGGGCTTAAACCAGCTTTTTAAGATATCTTCTACGAATTTTGAATGATTTCACCAATATGACAAATTGGAATCAATGATCATTTATAGGAATTTCCTTATTTGTATTTAAGAAATGTCACAAGAAATGGAAAAACACTATACACACACGTGAWGACAAATCGTTGATAAATGTCTGAACAAATAACAGAGAGCAATAACTTCAGCGTTATCTAACTGTGCTACTAGTCATACATTAGAATCCACTAGAATTTTAATTTCAGATTTCTTAAAACTTTTATAGTTGGAATGAAAAGTGTACCAATTAATTCCTTTATCCGACACCTTGTTTCCAAGGTACTTTCCATTCAGATTAGAATCATAACAACTATTATACCACCAGGCACCAGTGCGATCTGTAGCACAGTTAACACCACTATCCTTGTCGTTATCTCTATCTTTTGTACTAAACGCCATGTTGTTATGATATGATAACGAGTCCCAGCAGTACCTGAATACGAGCCAACCCTCAGCCTGTACTTGTCTGATTCATCACCAAAACTAAAACTACCATATTTGGCATACTTCCTAGTTCCGTCCCAGTCCTCTAACTCAACGCGCAGAATCGACGCTGTTCTTGCTGTCAGTCGATGGATGTAATCGTTACCCAACCAAAACTCACCATTCAGGCTTCCAAAACCTGTTTTGTATTGTTGCCAATTGCGATAGAAATCGACCGATCCATCCTTTCTTCTCTGGAACACAGTCCAACCCCCACCGTCAGTTGTCATGTCACAGTAGACTTGAAATGCAGGCTGGTTGTCGGGTTGAACTGTGTACACACCGTTACGTCTCTCTCCTGATTTGTAAAAGTCTGTGCAATCTTTAGTGTCAGCTGTTAACACTGTTCTTGTTTNTGAAAATCCAGGCGTAAAAATTAATACCAGTAATTTCTCTTTCTTCGAGAGATTTAGATCTAACCAGCTGTACGAAGTTCAAAGTCTTCAACATTAACTTTTTCACTTCAAGGCCATGTGATTATATAGCTAGGTAAAACTGCCATTAACATGCCCCAATCAAGGCAATTATGAATTAACACTTCCTGGGTCTTGTTTCTTGGATATCTCGGTGAAAAGGGGGAACAATTCCAAACGGTGTTTCAAATAAATTAAGACTCCCTGAAATGCCGGTAAATTTGCACTTTTTACATCATCGAAAAAACAGATTGCATCGACTCTTGGAAATTCGATAAACTGGATTATATTAAAAGAGGCTAAACCCTAAGACTTGTGACAATGAATTACTTCCGAAGAGAAAAACAGAATCCTCAGTCCCAACAAAATTGAAAATTTGACATTTGGACACGTCTGATTCAAGTTCCTCAGCAAATACTGTCAATATACTAGCAGGACATTTTTGTTTAAAGCTCGCCGACTAAAAGCGAATCACGATATATATAATTATCAACTTTGCAAAAGCTTTTCTTCAGGACTGGATAAACCCGACAATTAATTTTTGGCGCCTAAAATTCGTCAAAAGTGGATATAAAAAGCTGCAGAATTGAACATTATTGAGAATCTTATAATGTTTTAATATTAATTTTCACTTGTCGTAAGTTCCCTCGACCACCTGCTTCAACGTCCAATAAGTAGTTGATTCAGTTTCATCAAACGATCTACGCTTCGCAGCTGGTATAATAATGCACTTGTTTTTTTAATTAATCGCAAGGAAAGGATGAAGAAAAACATAAAAATAGAGTGTCAATAATATTGGTTAATAGTACGACATTTCGTGATTGACATATACTAGAGCTACGATCTTATAAAACATAGGAAAGGTTATTGAGAATATGCAATTTAGATAACTTAGCCATAGAAATTGCAATTGATATTGAAAAATCATCACCACCATTGAAAGAAGACTTAAAATCAGGAAATTTACCAAGTTTGAGAATCAGTTGAAAATTTACAAAATTTTGCAGAGAAAATGATAGCGACTGTGGTACTCATGAATTAGAATCCACTAGTAATCATTTTCATTTCAGATTTCTTAAAACTTTGATAATTGTTATGAAAAAAATACCAACTAATTCCTTTATTCGACACCTTGCTTCCGAAGTACTTTCCATTCAGATTAGAAAAATGGCAACTATAATACCACCAGGCACCGGTATAATATGTAGCACATTTCTCACTACTACTCTTGTCGTTATCTCTATCTTTTGTAGTAAACGCCATGTTGTTTTGAGGGTCTAACGAGTCCCCAGCAGTACCTGAATACGAGCCAACCCTCAGCCTGTACTTGTCTGATTCATCACCAACACTAATACTACCATATTTGGCATACTTCCTAGTTCCGTCCCAGTCCTCTACCTCAACGAGCAGACTCGATGCTTTTCTTGCTGACAGTCGATGGATGTAATCGTTACCTAACCAAAACTCGCCATTCAGGTTTCCAAAACCTGTTTTGTATTGCTTCCAACCGCGATAGAAATCGACCGATCCATCTTGTCTTCGTTGGAACACAGTCCAACCCCCACCGTCAGTTGTCATGTCACAGTAGACTTGAAATGCAGGCTGCTTGTTGGGTTGAACTGTGTACACACCGTTACGTCTCTCTCCTGATTTATAAAGCTCACCGCAATTTTTAAAATGCACAGTCAATGTCGTACGTACATGTGAAGAAACACCAGCACTCGTAGCAATGCACGAAAACACACCCGAATCTGTTTTCTTGACGTTCCTTATAATCAAAGAGCCATCTCTCACTTCATATCTACCAACAGGAAGAACGCCGTTTTCTTTCCTCCAACTAATGACAGACTGAGGGTCACCTTTAGCGGTGCAGTTCAACACTACAGTTGACCCTGGAGGTGATCTGTGTGACGATGGAGGTTTGAAATCAAACACAGGCAGATCGACAACATTTACAAAAATAGTACCCACAACAGAACCAAGAAGATTTTCAGATTTGCAGACATGTTCCTGAATCATCTTTTTTCGCTTTTAGTACAGTAAAATGTCCATCTCTAACAACAGAACGATTATCCGGCAAAGAACCGATAGACTTAGACCACGTGACTTTTGGTTCAGGAATTCCAGTCACGTGACAAGTAGGTAGACGAATGTCATCACCTATCTTTTTGTAGATTGTTCTTTTGTTGAAGGTCAGTAGCGGAGGAAAGTTCACTTGAAGTATTGCTGTTGTTTTTGTGCTGCCAAGAAGATTAGAAGCCTTACACTGATAGATTCCTGAGTCATTGGGTGTCACGTGTTTGATATCAAGTTTGCCAGTGCTATCAACTACTGCTCGTTTATTTGGTAATGTACCGTTGTTTTTACTCCACACAACATCAGGTCGAGGATAACCATTAGACGAACAATGTAAGATGGCGGACTGGCTTTCATTGACGATGAGATGTGTTGGTGAAATGAGTACTATTGGACGTGCTAAGGAAGGACCACGGTCTCTCTTTGGTCCCTTTGGTCCAGTCATTCCTCTAGGACCAGGAAGTCCGATCTTTCCTCATGCGTCCCCGATTTACCCATGCGTCCTCGCGGTCCTCTTGGACCAGGTTTTCCTTGTGGACCGGGAGGTCCTGGAATAGGAATCCAAAATTTCCCAAATTTTTGGTCGAATAAATCGGTCAGTAACTTAATGGTGTTGTTGACTCCAGTTGTATCATGTCTTACTTTTCTTTTTAAAACTGCTTCATTTTGTTTTGAGCGATCTTCGCTGCTGAATTGATTTAAGCCATCGTTCATGTCGTGTTTTGAAGTCATCTTGTCTGACAGCTGGATGTCTCTTGAATACAGCTCGTTTAGCATCAATTCAGTTCTTAAAAACACACCACAGCACAACAACAAACTGATGACCGATAGAGTGATGGCAATCTTGGACACCAAGCAAGAATGGATGATTTTATCTGCCATATTTTAGTAAATCGAACAGCATCAAAGCAAACAGGAAGACTGACGCAGTGAAAATGACCCGAAATCTTATACTTTCGCTATTAATCAGTCTTCATTCCTGTCTCAACATGTTGTGATATTTTATACAAGACTTGGTGACGTTATGATATCAGTCTTCTACGTAATCCTGACTATGGATTCATCAAAGCCTCAGAGCCTATTGTACTCTGTCTATAGTGCCCTACCTCAATGGACAACCGGCATTCAATGCGGTCGTGTTGTATATTTTTTGTGTATGGAAAATGACGGGAATTCAAATATTCATTGGTAATTCCATTTGTCTTGGCCTGTTTTACGATCAAGTCTTAGTTTATTTCTATTCATTCCCAGAACATAAAGGGATAATAATGGATACCTTTTTGGTTATATTACCGTGTATTTTACCATGTCTATTTAATAATTTGATCCAAACCTCACGACGCCTACATTAAAGGTATGAGGGAAGTTTAAAACAATCATTTTTGTATTAAGCAATAGATTAGGGCTAAATGGAATAGATTTTTATTTTGGTGAAAAAATACATTTTTGTCTTTTTCTATGTAAAAAAAATGATTTAAAGTAACTGTCGCAAGTGAAAACATGTAAATTGCTATAAACTACCCTAACCCTAAACCGATATAAGAACAGCTAGAACTACTATTGCTAAAATCAAGTCAAATTCTAAAAAAATGATAGTGATTCCGAAAATTGTAAGGTTGAAATTTCGGTTGCTTGCAATCTATGATGATAATAATAATGACGATGAAAGTAGAACCCACGAAGGTGAGGAGTTTATTGCCAAAGATATGTTTAATACTAAAATCGATACTAAAAGAAATTTTTAAAAATTTCTTTTAGTATCGATTTTAGTATTAAACATATCTTTGGCAATAAACTCCTCACCTTCGTGGGTTCTAAAGTTGTTTACAAATTTCGTTACATTTTAACTGTTACAAATTTGTAACAGTTAAAATGTAACGAAATTTGTAAACAACTTTTTTTCAAATACATGACATATTCAGAATACATTTCAGATGGGTAAAACTTTATTCATTATCGACTATCATAAGTAGTATTAATTAAGCAACTTCTCGACCTCAATAGATCATAATTTCACCAGTTCTAGCGCCCTTGCTTAAAGCCCTTAAGAATTTATGTGGCGCTTGATAAATTAAACATAAAGTATCAGTAATCAGGGACTACGGAGCACATTATGAGGTCGGATAGCATTTGAAAAATTAGCAGATTTCATCAAAAAACGTTAATGTATTTCAAAATCTGTTTTCTGAGCAATATATTGGGGGAGCTATAGCCCCCGTCCACCACCTGTTTTATAAGATNTTGGTCCTTTGTTCAAGGTCAGTCGCGGAGGGAAGTTCACTTGGAGTTTTGCTTTTGTTTGTGTGCTGCCAAGAAGATTAGAAGCCTTACACTGATAGATTCCTGAGTCATTGGTAGTCACGTGTTTGATATCAAGTTTACCAGTGCTATCAACTACTGCTCGTTTGTGTGGTAATGTACCGTTGTTGTTACTCCATACAACATCAGGTCGAGGATAACCACTAGAGGAACAATGTAAGATGGCGGACTGGCTTTCATTGACGATGAGATGTGTTGGTGAAATGAGTACTGTTGGACGTGCTAAGGAAGGACCACGATCTCCCTTTGGTCCCTTTGGTCCAGCCATTCCTCTGGGACCAGGAAGTCCGATCTTTCCAGGAAAACCACGTGGGCCTCGTTTCCCTCGACGTCCAGTTTTACCCGTGCGTCCTCGGGGTCCTCTTGGACCAGGTTTTCCTTGTGGACCGGGAGGTCCTGGAATGGGAATCCAAGACTTTCCAAATTTTTGGTCGAATAAATCAGTCAGTAACTTAATGGTGTTGTTGACTTCAGTTGTATCATGTCTTACTTTTCTTTTTAAAACTGCTTTATTTTGTTTTGAGTGATCTTCGCTGCTGAATTGATTTACGCCATCGTTCATATCGTGTTTTGAAGTCATCTTATCTACCAGCTTGATATCTCTTGAATACAGCTCGTTTAGCATCAATTCTGTTTTTAAAAACACACCACAGCACAACAACAAACTGATGACCGATAGAGTGATGGCAATCTTGGACACCAAGCAGGAATGACTGATTTTAGAAATTGTTTCCAAGGTACTTTCCATTCAGATCAGAATAAGCACAACTATAATACCACCAGGCACTGAGCAGTCTTCTGTATATTGTACAGTCAATATCGTACTTGCATGCGAACTAGAAATACCAGCACTCGTTGCAATGCACGAAAACACACCCGCATCTGTTTTCTTGGCGTTCCTTAGAATCAAAGAGCCATCTCTCACTTCATATCTGACAACAGGAAGAACGCCGTTTTCTTTTCGCCAACTGATGACAGGCTGAGGGTCACCTTTAGCGGCACAGTTCAACACTACAGTTTCTCCTATATGTGTTGTATATGAAGATGGTGGCTTAACAACAAACGCAGGCTGATCGACAACAATAACCATAATTGATTCTACAACAGAACCAAGAAGATTTTCAGCTTTACAAACATATATCCCTGACTATCATCTTTCTTTGCTTTTAGTATAGTCAGATGTCCATCTTTGACAATAGAACCATTTATTGACAAAGATCCAATAGCTTTGGACCACGTGACGTTTGGTTTTGGGTATCCAGTCACGTGACACGTGGGTAGACGAATRTCATCACCAATCTTACTGTAGATTGGTCTATTGTTCAAAGTTACTCGTGGAGGAAGTTTCAACTGCAGTTTCGCTGTTTTTGTGTGCAAGGACCACGATCTCCTCTTGGTCCCTTTGGTCCAGGCATTCCTCTTGGACCTGGAATCCCGATCATCCCAGGAAAACCACGTGGTCCTTGTTTTCCTCGACGTCCAGTTTTACCCATGCTTCCTGTCGGTCCTCTTGGACCAGGTTTTCCTTGTGGACCGGGAGGTCCTGGAACGGGAATCCAGTATTTGCCAAATTGTAGATTGGCTGCTGCTTTTCCAATAACTTGATGGATTTTCTTTGAAATAAATCATCATTAATGGTGTTGTTGACTACAGTTGTAACATCTCTTACTTTTCTTGTGAAAACTTCTTTCTTTGCTTTGCTTCTTGTTTCTCAAATGTTCGCTCTGAATAATCATCTTTGTCGAACTCAGGGGCGGATTTAGACTAGTTCAACTAGTTTCCGGAAACTAGTGAGATTTTTCAAAAACAAGATGTAGTTGAAAGCGATACTAATAAAATCAT